TCTCGAGGACACCTGTCGTAGGTGGCGGCGATCGAGTTAATTATATAACTACATAAAAGAAGATGTTTATCGCGACGACTTTTTGTAACAATATAAAATGATAATTACATGAGTATCATCTCCCAGATAGTTAATAAAATATCGCGCAAATACTCAAGGATATCGACGGCATCCTTCGATATTGGACGAGTCCGACTTGCTAGAATTCTCGAGAAGCTCGTGAAGCCGCATACGATTATGCGAGTCCATTATGATGATAATGATATATTGACTACTGACAATTTTGTTAGGGCAGATTAATTCTAAAAATCATGCTATTACTTATAAAAATTATTTTGCGTCCCCGAGTGTGCATATATAATTTATCGTAGCTATTATAGCTGGGGTACACAGTAAAAAATTTTCTGAAAGTTTAGACATATTTTTGTTTGAATTTTCAGGTCTGGATGTTTGAAAGAAATGTCAGACAATCTGTCTTAATTATCAGAGTCATTTTTCTAAAAGTTCAGAAATGTATCTGAAAATTCAGATAGCATTCTGTCTGAAAATTCAAACAGTGTCTGCAAAAAAGCTGCATACACTTTATCTGAAATCTCAGTCAGTTTTTTTTTTACAGTGTAACATCGTGCATCCTCTCAAGCGGACTATTCGTTTTCCATTTCACAATCTACGAGCTCGACCGGCCATTACTGCGTACACAGATTAGAGATCGATGGGTGTGTTTTGCGCCGGTCGGATCGAGTGCGCGATCATGCGTTAAAATGAAAGGAGACGCGCGACGTGCCAAGATATGTGAGAAATGAGAAAAATCATCGAGGCTCGATAGCCGCTCGCTTTGGTTGTCCTAAAAGAAGAATCCGCGGCGTGAGTTCTCTGTTTACGCGGAAACTCATTCGTGCGACCGTAGATCCGCGGCACGATAATTATTCTCGCAATTTTTCCGCACGCTGCACTAAAATCAAAATCCTTTTCAATCAAATAAATATATTTTATTAATTTATATTAATTTGAAGATAAAAAATTATTTATTAAAATAAAGAAAACCTTGACTGCTTTTGAAACAAGCAGACAAAAATTAAAAATTAAAAAAATGTTTTTTAAAGGAAGTAATTTAGTAAAATAAAGATAAAAAACAAATTCTTTGTTTTATTTGCAAATAAAAATATTTTGCTCTATTTTATATATATTTTCCTATAATTCAAGTATATTTACTGCTTGATTGAAATAACTAATTCCTTTGCAAAAATCAAAATAAATAACTTTTTTAAATAAAAAAAAAATGTTTGGATTAATACATTTTTTTCAGTCCGATTTTAGACCGATCGCGATTTGCCTTGTTTTTCTCTTTTTATCTCTGCTTTATCGAAACTCTTTAAATGCGACTCGAGCAATTTACAGTTTCGGAAACGATAAAATCAACGCTCCGTTATACGCGAATGGCGCGAAATTTCACCGCAATCTTCTCCTTTGTGTCTTTATGAATCTCTTTTACAAATCAAAAAAAGTCGCGGTAAGAAATTCCATGGGGTTAATTAAAATCCTCGTCAAGATGCGATGATAGATAATAGATAGCGGTGCACACGCCATTAGCGATTCGCGGGCGTACTGTCGATTTGTACCGCTAATCGCTAGATCGATCGACCGGCCGGCACAATTTTTTTCCACTTTCTAAACGTGCTACGAGAGCGCGCGGAATTTCGTGATTAGCTCGGTTGTTTTTGTCAACGTCACGCTTGCAATAATGTTCGTTGGCGCGTACAATTATTGCCTCATCGGTGCCGTTCGTAGGTTGCCTCTTGCTTGTCTCAGATCACTCTTTCGCGATACTTGAAGCGATCGCCGATATTCTTGCCTACGAGAGCTGTCCACCACAAAAAAATCCTCTCTTGTCCCGCTTCTAGTCATGTTTCATTTTTTATTCGCATTTTAATTTGCACGCAACCGTCGGTCTTCCAGAGCTACCAGGCTTTCGGAAGTCGCCGGCAATACTTTCGGGTATATTTCGGGTATGTTTTTTCCTTAGAAATCTAGTGCCCTAATTGCCAAGCATCCTTTCGTCTTGTAACGAAGAAAAGAACATGATGGATCCGTTATATTTCCTATCCATTAACTTATATTTTTATTGTGTTTATATTTTACAGGCACTGATATAAATATAAATTGTATGAACAAATAATATATATATTTTTTGGTGCCTTTGTGCGCTGATAAAATCTGATCTCTACTTTCTCTTCTCTCTACCTACGGCTCTTTTTTTATTACCCCATTCGCATACCCTTTATTAACGCGACGAAGAAGTCTCGGTCTCGGATTATATGACGCAAATGTCAGCTTTTTGCAACTCCGTTGATTAAGACACACTCTTCTTGCGATCGAATCAAGCTGCAAGCTCGATCGACGTGAGAAGCGATGCATTTCTTGCCCATCGACATAAATTAACGGACGCAAAACCTAAGAGATGTTTGTAACGAATCACGATGGAATTTCGTTAAATTATCTGATAAAGGTTGTCGATTTATTTTCTATGCAACTGCATTCACTTTTCCTTTGCAAGCAGAAGATTGTTTACACGCATCATGACGTTATACTTATCTAAAAAAACGCAACGAGATACATATATTATACTTAATAACATTTAAATTTAAATTCAGCTAATTAATATCTGAAGAATTCAAATATATTTGTAATTTGAATAATGTCATTAACTATATCGGTAGTATTAATATGTTTTTTTATTTTATGAAGTGTGAATCAGTGTGTTATTCGAGTTTTTTTTGCGACATCTTTTTACACAACAATATTATTATCACCTTGCACCTTCTGTTCAACATCTGCGAATATGGCACAAAAAATGTGAAAAAAATGGTACCAAATATGGATGATATGATACATATTGACGATAATACAAATAACAAGTAATTACTGTTAATTTACCGCGCATTATGATCCAGATAATCCGTGTATTTTATTTATAAGGCAACGCGATGAGTGCAAAATGATGCTATTAAAGTGATAACTATTGATGGTATTAAAATAATAAATATTACAGCGTCGAATTAATCGGCGCATTTACTAGTTACCTTTGGCGATTAGATAAGAGTATAAGTGGCGCACGTGCACTGAGAAAAAAAAGTTGTTAAGGGGATCCAAAAGCTCGTCTGTTTTACCGACCATAATAATTAATATTTGCTTAATATAAAAGTTTTGCAGTTTGTATGCGCAAAATAGAATAACTTCGTCTTCGGAATTGCATGAAAGAATATAGGTGAACGTTTAAAAATGTATTTAGAAGCCTAGTAAAAAACATTTTTAAATGTTCACCTATATTCTTTCATGCAATTCCGAAGACGAAGTTATTCTATTTTGCGCATACAAACTGCAAAACTTTTATAATAAGCAAATATTGTTATGACCTGACGCAAAAAGCCAGTAAAAAAACTTTAATTTTTTAGCTTTTCTTCGTTTTTAACATAAACTCGTGAAGTCTCATCTTTGTTTCGATGTGCACTTAAATCGTGGAAAAGGATTTATTATTCTATTCAACTAAAAAAAAGATTTCAATGTAAAAAATAATAATTTTTGGTCGGTAAAACAGACGAGCTTTTGGATCCCCTTAACTTGACTAAATGCGTTCAACTGATTATCATTTTTGTAATTGAAATATTTAAGTATTTAAGTCAAATACGTCATGTTAGATTTAATATGTCATATTTAATTTAAATACTTAAATGTTTCAATTAAAGAAATAATAATTAGTTGAACGCATTTAGTCAAGTTAACAACTTTTTTTTCTCAGTGTGTAAATTGTTGTTCAGTCAGATAGACTTGAATGGGATCGAATGGAGTACGATAATAATACAATACATTGGATCGAGTGGGCGTCGAGGATCGATTCAAGCAAACGTGTATCGCATGTATATATAATATATACAGACAAAGTTCAACCTTTTATAGCAACTTTATAGCAACATTATTTGCAAGCTTTCAAATTAATTGTTGATAATGTCTAATTAAATTAATTTAATTTAATTAATAATAAGAATAAATTACTAATAAAGATTTATAAGAGTAATTATAAGAGTATTAAAATAGAAGTTTTCCATTATTATGTATGACTGTAAGAGAAGAACGTTATTTATATAATCGCTTATTCTCTTATTACCTTCTTATAATGTCAAAAATTGTATTTTTTTATTATAAGTAAATTGTTATTGATTGCGATGTGCAAATTGTAGAATAAAGCGTTATCTAGTGTCTTGAGGATGAATCGAATGTTGGAAAACATCTTGCCTTTAGAGCAGGATCGCTCGCATTATATTTATCGTCGATAAAGGAAGTCTCTGCACTTTACAATACTCAAATTGTTTAAATAAAAATTACCTAATAAATTGCATTGTTAAGTTAATTTTTTTTATAATTTTTGGATGAGTTTTATAATTTATTTAATACAAAATTATTTACATATCTCAAATATAAGCAACACCAGAGCGCAGCACAAGCCAGTAGAACGAGTATTGAAGAAGTAATTTATCGTATTTGTGTATGTGATTTTTATAATTGTAAAAAACACATACACACACACACACACACACATACATGTCGCATTATTTTAAATAAAATTTTAAAAATGTATAAAAATATATTATTTATTATTTAATATCTTTTTTAATTATTGAAGAGTAGCTTGATTTTTATGCACAAAAGCAGTATATTTTTTCTACAGAATAAAGTTTTTAATTTAATTTGGTTTACTCTTCGACTTTATTATTAACTCTTAATTACTTAATTAACTCTTTACTAAAAATTTAATTTTCTTAATTGTTAGAAAAATAATACTATCTTGTTATCTTACTTATTTGTATTATCTTCATCTCTGTTAAATCTAGGCATACAAGATACCAAAATTGTAATAGTTCATCAAATTTTATTGGATAGGAATATAAGATAAAGGAGAGAATCGACACAGGTGAAATTATCGCTTGGCTAATCCACAATTTGAAGTGTAATATTTTTAATAGTAATCATAATGAAGAGTTACAGGATGCTTTTTTATACAGTATGTATAGATAGACAGCGTCGTATAATATAGTTTTTCTTAAGTAATTCGTTTCAATATATTTATGCTCTAATCGCTTTATAAGTTTATTATTCTCTATAATGAAAGAGAGATAGAAATAGAGAGGAAAAAAGAGAGAGAGAGACAGACAGAGATATGTAGAATGTGTATTCGTAAAATCTTTACGTGAAAAAACAAGTGAAGCCCCAACTCGGTGATTACAAACGAACGATATATTCTTTGTATCATTATTTTTTTTTTTTTTTTTTTATTAACCGCAAGCGTACTTGGTACACGTGTAATACGCTGTGTGCTTAATCTCTCAACGTTATCAACTTTCTCGCGTGATCGGGTGACACACGTTAATCGTAATTAATCGACGCGTTCCTTAAATATATTCCTACTGGGAGTGAGTGAAACGCGAGGAACGGTATGATTCGCTCTAACGTGCCTTCTTCTTCTTCTTTGTCCCGTTTACTACGAGAAAAAAAGAAACCTCTCTAGATAATCGTATTTATATATATTAATAAAAATCGCGGAAGAATCTTTCGTCTCTTTACAAATGTTATATATCACCTAATAGAAATTTGTACAGTTTTTTTTCGCGATAAGAGACTCTTTTTGTTGCCTTCTAATTATTTAATTATACATACACATTCCCTTCGCGTCAATTTTTTTTTCCTCTCGTCGCTTTGTGATTTCGCGAAGTAACGTACATCAATTTCAATACATGATGCGAAAGTATTAAACTTTTCTCTCATTCCGCAGGTCCTAGATCTTCCTTATCTGACGTATCTTGCGTCAAAATGGAACTCTTCCTCGTCTATTGTTGCTGGTACGATCATGTTGTTTCAGCTAGGTTCTAATAAAATTCCTCGGAAAATCCTCGAGATTCGAACCGATCGAAGCGATTACAAGCGCGATCGTCTTACGATAGAATCTTTACAACAATCTAACTTTCGCAACCCCTCGCTCTCGAGGAGCCCCCGCGCGTCCCGAACGTGACACGACTATGATACACTGTTAAAAACAAATCAGTTGATAATAGCGCACACGTAGATATATCTAGGATCTACAAACGTCAGTGATTTGATTATCGATCCATGGTGGATACATTGCAAGCGAGTTTAACAATCTGTGAGACTTTTGCAGGGACGCTTTTCGATCATTCGATGCTTGTGACGTATGAGCCCCTTTGCCGAGCGACGATAATATGTAATAATAACGATAAATTAATTTTGTTAATAATAGAAATAAATAATGTGCTATACCGTGCGTTTCCTCCAATCGATGAAGGACTCGTTCAATGACGAAAAGGGATGGGGAAGGAGAGGGGAGTAATATTTAATTACGTGCACGTATTACATTCATATAACGAGTCTATAGAAACTATAGAACTAGGTGATAAAAGAGCTTCTGATATGCGTGTGTGTGTGAGAGAGAGAGAGGAGGGGGACTAACTGGTCCATTTGTTGTTCTTTACGATGCCTAGTGCAAACAAATGTGGAGCGTAAAAAAAGATTGCGTAATAAGATCTTCGGGGATTTTGTTCGCCGAGTTTTTTGCATTTTTTTTTTTTTTAAAGCACGTGTTTTATAAGTATAACTGAGGTGGAAGAAATTTTAATTCTTCGTGATTATATTCTTTGGAAACTTCTCCGAAATGAATATACTGACGCGTAATTATAATTATCACTGTCGGCTGTCTTTCATGGAGATTTACAGTATCATTGCGGAGAATAACCCGTTTATGTAACTTGAAAATATGTTTGTCTCGTGAAAGTGCAAGGTCAAAAGTACGGCGGACCGTTCTAAAGTAGGATAATCCTGCGCTATATTGGAGCGTTATCTCTCGAAATAACGCCGTCAAGATCGGGAATGCTGAGACCGAACGGTTACTCGCAAGCGGTTCTGTACATTAAGGGAAAACGAGCTCCCTCCGTCCCTCGAGGCGCAAATCACCCGGTTCGACCTCTGGGCTATGTCGAGATCTCGATCACCGGCTCAGCAGTGTTGTTATTGAGCAGCTCCTGCTTCTCCCTAAGCTTCAGGTCGTACTGCGAGGGCGATGGCGACTCCTTGGCCTCGATCGGCGACATTCCGTCCGTCTCCTCTAACGGAGACGCACCCTCCTCGCTATCCTCGTCCTCGTCATACTCGACCATCTTATTCTCGTTCATCTCTCGTAGCCGACTGGGAATATAGGCCGGGTGATGGGGCAGTCCATAGCCACCCTCGCCGCCGTAGGTGACCTTGCCCATGAAGGATCTAATCTCATCGAAGTACGTGTCCTCCCGCTCGTTTTCGTTGCTGCTGCCGGGCGAGTCGGCGACCGAGACCACGCCGCTGCCGTCGTCGGCCTCGTGCTTCTTAAGATGCCGGTCCAGATTGGTCTGCTGGCCAAAGCACCTCTCGCAGAGCGGGCACTTGAACGGCCGTTGCTTGTCGTGGATGTTCCGGACGTGCCGCTGCAGATTGCTCGAGATGCTGAAGGATCGCTCGCAATACTTGCACTTGTACGGCTGCTCGCCGGTGTGCGTTCTCAGATGCCTCGTGAGATTGGCCGAGCGGGGAAACACCTTGCCGCAGAACTTACAGGAGTAACGATCCTTCATCTTGCCGTGGACATGGTGATGATGGTGATGATGATGGTGGTGATGAGGCGCTATCACGGCCTCCTGAAACGGTTTTACTCCAGGGAACGCGCTCAGCGGCGGCCGGGCGAGCAAATCAAAACCACTTCCTGGCCTAGCGCCGCTGAGCCCGTTCATAAGCGAGCCTAAAAAAGGAAGCCCGCGCGGTGGACCGAAAGGCGGGAGCGGAGGTATCAGTCTGGATTCCGGGGCTGCCGCGCCGGGGGGCGGAGGCGCGCCGGGAAACCCCGGAAAAGTCCCCGTCGGGCCGCGATACATCGTCTCGAGGAACATCGGATGTATCGGTCTGGGATAAGCCATATGCGGCGGCGTATTTGTCGGCGGTTGTTCGGTCGGCAAGCTAGTCCTCAGTTGCTGGGGGCTGTTGGGGACTTCCTTGGACTCGATTTCCATGAGCGTCGGAGCAGTGGTGTCTTCTTCCGGTTTCGGGGGATCAGGCGACACGGGTGTCTCCTCCCTCGGCATCGGCGCCGGCGATGGTGTGCAACTCTTCCTGCTCGAAGCTCTCGAAGCGGTGTCCTGTTTCCTGGTCTGCACCCTCAAATCCAACGGCTGTTCCGTCGTCTCTTCCTTCGAGACGTTCGATGCGCTTTCGGCTTTTCTTTTTCGCTCGTTGTTTCTGGTCGCTTCTCCCCTCTTGGACAGGTCGTCGTCGCTCTCCGGAGTCGGTTGAACCGGAGGTCTAGCCGGAGACGGCCTGAAGGTAGAGGTGGCCTCCTCCGCCGTAGAAGGAGATACTTTATTATGTTGTGATAGTACCGTCGGAGGAGTAAATCGTGCCTTCTTGGGAAAAGGGCTCTCGCTCCTTTTCTCAGTTTCCTCGATCTTCGGTGGGAAGAGGAGAGGCGTATTCAGGAAATTCGGAGCGTTCGGAAAGATTCCCGGATAAGGAGCCATCAGACTAGGTGGGTAGAAAGGCAGACCACCTGGCAGGCTCACGGGAGGTCGTGGATACACCAGAAAAGGATTTGTCGTTGGCGTCGGTAACTGCGGCATAGCTCCGGGCGGACCGGTCGGAGTCGTGGAGTCGCAAAATCGTTTATGCTTCGATAACGATGTTACCGTACTGAAGGACTGTCCGCATTTAACGCATTTGATCTGCATGCGACAGTCGGCGTGCATGCGCTTGTGCCGGCATAGATTCGAGAACTGCGTGTACGACTTGAAACAGACCTCGCACTGGAAAGGCTTTACGCTGCTATGAATGTGGGTGTGTTGCTTCAGGCCGGAACTGGTCGCAAAGGTCTTGCCGCACTCTGTACAAGCATGGCTCCTGGCACCCACGTGATGCGTTCTGATATGGCGCTGTAGATTGGACGGGTCCGTGAAGACCTGCCGGATGTTCGACTTTTAGCGATATTTTGAAGATGCTACTAGATAGGGAAGATTGTCTGATTTTGGCGCGCCGAACAAATTTGAAACTTACCTTCGGACAATTCTCGCAGGGATAATTCCTCAGATCACCGTGAACGATAGCGCGATGCCGTACCAGAAGCGGCCGCCAAGCGTAAGCACGAGGACAACTGTCGCAACGGTGCTGCTCCGCTGGGTATCTGTGACAAGTCACCAAGTGGCTATCCAATCTGAAAATAAATTATTCAAACTATTCATTAAACACAGTAAAAATAATAAAATGAATTCTAGACCAATTATAGATTAAAAATAAAATAAATATTTATCAATATGTGCCTATAAAAATACACAAATATTTATAAATAATATATATATATATATCTGATAAAAGCAGATATATTTATCATAGCATCTCTTTCTCTTTCTCTCTCTCTCTCTCTCTCTCTATTCTTCATCTCTTTAAAAGTATTTTGAATAAACATACGGAAGATCAATGGGGTGGTAGGTAGCTCTTTTGGCAAGCAAATATGTTGCGACACATTACTACTCTCCGTATATCTCGCTAGAACTTGAATCGGGAAACACGGGCAAGCGAGATGCGTTAACGGTAACCAACAAAGACTGCGCCGGGCGCAAGTCCTGGATGATGACTAAGTGACTCTGCGGCGAATGGCGGGTGGTTCGGACTCTCGTGTAATAACGGTCGCACGCCCCTGAAGAAGAGGGCGGCCGTCGCGCACGAACACACGCCGTCACGAAGAAAAGCCATCGTTAGGGGGGATAAGGGGGAGGGGAGAAAGAGTGGTTGTCACGGGGTAGGCACAGGGTTATCGTCGCACGGGACGGCGCCGTGGTGTGCGGCCAACATTGATTTTACACCCCCGGACACACGCGTCGTGTGAAACCTATTCGCGGTGAGATAGTGCCTTCATGGGTAACGGTGTGCCGTGCCAGATGAGCTACGGGCACGCGACGCCTTCGATGATGTATAAGGGAGAGAGAGGGAGGGTGGCCCTAGCGCGCTTTTCCGAGATCCCGCGGCGTAGGGTTTAACGCCCCTCCCCCTCTCCCCTCACAACAGGTGAATCTGCCACGTCAAAGATCTTAGCGGCTTATTAATGTCGGCTGTATCGTCGGTGTTGGAGACGTAGACGACGAGAGTCGGTCAATCTTTATTAAAACTTGAATTTTTCCAGCGATACTTGATAATTATTATAAGATTATTTTTATTAAGAAAAGGAGAAATATTAAATATATTATATTATAATTATACTTGCGCTGAATAAAGCCAAATATGATTGATGAAAGAGATGAAAACTAATAAGAGAGAGAGTTAAACAAAAGGGTAACACGAGTTCATTAAGAGAGGAAGACGGCATTATAGGTTTTCAAATATAATACATTCTTGAAAAAATAGATTAATAATAATGGTAGTTAAAATATCACTCATGGGAAAATATTATGCTCGAATATTGTAAAGACCATATGTTAGATATACATCAGTATTTGACTTTGCATTGAACGGCAGTTAGTAAATAAAAACCAAATTTCTTTTGAGGAAATAAAGATTGCACTCTCTCATCGGTCGCACAATTCCTGATCAAGTTTTTTTTTGCATTTAATGTAATACATTTAAGAGTAAATTGTATCGTAAAATCGTAGAGAGACAGAGACAAAGAGAGAGAGAGAGAGAGAGAGACAGAAAGACAGAGAGGAGAGAGATTTGAAATCTCCTTAAGAGTAATTTATAGAGCAATATCGCAATTGATTTGCCGTCATTTTTTATTCTTACAGTCTAACTTTACATTAATTACTCCTTAATTAAAGGCAATGACACGGCAAGGCGACAGAACGAAGGCTGAGTAAGCACGTTGTTGAATCGCAACGAACAAGGAACCTTGAAGAAGAACACCGAAGAAAGAGAGAGAGAGAGAGAGAAGGTTCTTGAAAGCCGCTCGCTCGCGTGACAAAGAGCTTTTGCGAGCGCGTATCGCGTAGCCCCCGAGAGATTTGAAGACGATTACGCGTGGCACTCACCCCCTGGGATTCCATCGATTAATTAATAATTGACGATGAAAATTGACGGACGCGCGACGAGAGCGCTCTTTAACGCCCATAGTCGGTCGATTATGAAAGCCGTTGTCTCTCGATTTCGATCGTGTCGCCGGCCACGTAATCGTCGCTCATCTGATTTCAAAAGCGTATAATGATGCGCCATGAATCCTTCATGAGATAGCGCACACAATGTATCGTCGTGTCAACGACGATTCGTCGGATGATAAAATGCGTGGAAATACAAAGACATTCCGCGAGCGCGAATAAAATAAAAATTTTTTGCGGGGTCCTACACAGGTGAAAAGTCTCCATCCTCGATCTAGCATGAATATTATAATATTAATATTATTGTTTGAATTAAACTTCTTTTTTAACGGATATAAAACTTTTCGACGAAAAGAAGATGCTTGGACTTTTCTTACTTTTTTTGTAATTCTCAAAATTATATTTTTGGAAAATATACAATGTTTTGGAAAATTTATGTTTTTTTGTTAAAAAATATGCAAGTTAAAATTTTTGTATTAAATATTTAACTTTTTATATTTAATACGTTTATGTGTTAATTTAACATATTGCTGTTGTGTTAATTGAATGTTAAATTATTAAAACAATTGAAAAAAGTGTAAAAATAATTCAATGTGCACATATTTTTAATTTTGCACAATAGATATGTTTCTTATTAGTGACAGAATTTATCTGTTTAAATTTACAGAAAAAAATTGATTTTATTTTATAATAAGAGTGAGAATGACTACGGACTATCAATAATATTTTTTCTAACAATGAATTATATAATTTTATCATTAAAAATATATTGATTTTACACAAAATTTATTTCAAATTACTATGAAGTTTG